TAAATAAAATTTAAAAAAAAAAAAAAAAAAAAAAAAAAATCACATGGGAATGTGATTCAACATTTTTTATATGTGATATTCTTTTAAAAATGATATTTTTTTCAATTAAAAAAAAGTTTAAAATAGATTTTTATGATAACGATGCATCCAACAACGTTATGGTTTGGTCATTGAAATAAAATTAAAAGATATAATTGTATTTATATGTGTTTAGTTTTGTGATGATGTCAGGTTTGTTTAGGTTCAGACACAGAAACAATGTCTATTATATAATATGTCTATTTTATAGTTATTTGATGTTTTTGTATAACTTAATGTAATGTACCCTGGCTCCCTTATTTATTTTCTGTTTACATGTACTTTACGGATTATTATTGATTTATCTCTTATGTCTCTGAAACTTCCTGTAATTTGTATCCTTGTATCTTTGCAATAAAGTTTAAAAAATTATAATAAAAAAAACAACAAAAGAAACAGTTTGATCATGGTTACCGAACGGTCAGCATCGCGTTTTAAATTAAAAGAAAACAACTGTGAATATGGTTTGAAACTGCTCGTGATCTTCAGTTTGTTCAGGTACAAGTCTTTATTTGGTTAATCTAACGTTAATCGTCCACCACTGACAGACACAATGGAGAGCAGCGAAGAAAGGACCAGTATGAGTCAGGCCTCCGGTACCGACTCACCGGTGGTGACCCAGCACGATGATCTTGTGGCGGAGTTACGGTGTTTATTGAACGGTAGTCCGGAGCGAGACACGCAGGAGGACATGTCCCAAAAAATCCTGTCCTCCTTCTTCAAAAACCTGGATGACCGACAACCTGTAAGTTAACGTTACCTGATAAACACCTGGTACCTCTCTGTGCTTTTTGTTTTTGGTTTCTGCTGAAATGTTCAGGTTATAGGAAGCATTTCATGCTAGCTCCAAAGTAACGTTAGCTCTAATGCTGTGTTCCCACCAAACGTGATGAACGCGATTTAATCGCTCGTAATGCGACTAACACGCCGCCCGTAACGCCCGAGTTTGGACGCCTGACCATTTTGTTAATTCGCATTATCGCGTCATTCGCGCGAGTAGCGGGGAAGCCGGCTGTGCTAACTGGAGCTAAGCTAGTGCTAACGTTCATAGTACAACCATTCTGCAAACTAATTAAAGACACATATTTACAGAACTTAACAAGTAGACCAGTCTCCTCGGCGTCTTTCACCCAAGCCTGCTCCTTTTTGTTGCAGTCTCTGTAGAGGAGACACGTAGTATCATATAGCTCCGGGTAGCCACTGACGACCATGGCTGAGATAACTACCATCGCTGCTTTGTACCTTCTCTGGAAGTCCCAAATGCGTCGGAGGGCCAAATGCCGTCGTTTTTGGGTTCACCCTATCCTGCAGAAGCGCATCCAGCTCGGCGAGTTTCACCACCTCCTTCAGGAACTCCGTCTGGATGATAGCCGCTTTCAGCGGTACTTCAGGCTGACTAGGGCCCAGTTTGAGGACCTGTTGGCGAGGGTTGGTGCCAGGATCTCCCGGCAGGACACCAACTACAAGCGGTCCATTTCAGCTGCGGAGCGTCTGTCCATCTGTCTCCGGTGAGTAGCAGTTTATTGCCAGTGACGTCGGGAGAATCTCAACGCTGATTGGCTTTCGCGGCACAGCGTCACGCGAATTCGCTTCAAAAGTTCAATATTTTCAACTCGAGCGACGAGGCGTTGGACGCGAATTTCGCGTCTATCGCGCTGCGCTAGACGCCTCTATTGCCTCCATCGCGTTCATCGCGTCACGCTAGACGCGTCCATCACGCCGCCTGGAGCGATTTCGCGTCTAATCGCGTCTTTGCATTGACTTTGTATGTAATCTTGACGCGCGAATTTGCGAATTCGCGTTTGGTGGGAACACAGCATAACGGTTAGTTACGGGAGTTTGCATGGGCGCGTAATGAGACAATGGTCCCCACCACCTCTCCTACAGAGGATCTAGAGACACTTTTTGGTGGTTTAGCCTCTTATTGTTGTTGTTTTCTGTCTCTATGTAACGTTAGTCATTACTCATATCTCTGTGCTTTGTGTAAAGTTAGCTTTGTGTGGTCTTTTTGTGTCTTCGTGGTTGTTTTTCCCCTTTTCATAGTCATAAGTCGCTTTGTGTCTCTTTGAAGCTTTTTGTAGTAATTTTTATCTCTTTGTTGGCTTTTTGTAGTATTTGTAGTGATTTAGTGTCTATCTGGACTTTTGATGTCTCTTTGCGGTCATTTTGTGTCTCTTTCTGGACTTTTTATGTCTCTTTGCGGTCATTTTGTGTCTCTCCGTGGTTGTTTTTCCCCTTTTCAAAGTCGTAAGTCTCTTTTTTTGTCTTTGTGTCTCTTTGTACCTTTTTGTAGTAATTTTTTGTCTCTTTGTGGTTGTTTTTCCCCTTTTTGTAGTTATTAGTCTCTTTGTGTCTCTTTGCAGCGTTTTTTGTAGATTTTTTGTAGTGATTTTGTGTCTCTTCATGGTTGTATTTCCCATTTTCATTTTTGAAAGTCTCTTTGTGGTTTTTGCAGCTTTTATTACTCATTTTTTACCTCCTTGTGGTCTTTTTGTGTCTGCGTTTTTTTCACCATTTTGTAGTTGTAAGTCTCTTTGTAGCTTTTTGTTGTCATTGTTTGTCTCTCTGTGGTTGTGTTTCCGCTCTCCATAGTTGTTAGTCATTTTGTGTCTCTTCCTGGTCTTTTTGCATCTCTTCGTGGTTGTTTTTCCCCTTTTCATAGTCCTAAGTCTATTTGTAACTCTTTGCAGCTGTTGTGCATCTTTTTGTAGTCATTTTGTGTCTCTTCAAGGTTGTCGTTCCCCTTCTCGTAGTCACAGTAACCCTCTTTGTGGCTGTTGTGCATCTTCTGTATTGTTTTTGTGTCTCGTCCTGGTTGTTTTCCCCCTTTTCATAGTCATTGAAAGTCTCTTTGTGTCTCTTTGTGGTCTTCTTGTGTCTGTTTGTGGTTGTTTTTCCCATTTTAATAGTCGTAAGCATGGGTGTAGATCCCGGGGGGGGATGGGGGTGACATGTCCCCCCCAAATTCTGAAAAACACAAATTGTCCCCCCCAATTCTAAATAGCTTAAATGATTGAAATTGAACAAATGTATACAGTAGTCCTATATACTGGGAGAAAGGAAAGATGATGAGGAGAAATGGGAATCCGTGAGAGGCGAGAGATGAGAAAGTGAGTGGACATAACATGCCTGAGACCCTGAAACTAGAAATAGCATTAACTAACAGCGAAGCAGTGAAAAGGAGGGTGATGGCTGGTTCCATGTACTACTGGCTGTTTAAGAGAAATAAACAGTAAAGGTAAGCATATGATTCTCTTTGTAGTGCTTTTTGAATGACTTGGTGATGGTGATGAGCCTCTATGAAATCGTGAAATATGCTGGCAATCTCAAGCGCTCTGTGGGCATGATTTGCACACGTGCAATTAAAAAAAAATCACAACTGATTGTGTCCCCCCCAAACTTGTCATCAGATCTGCACCCATGGTTGTAAGTCCCTTTTTGTCTCTTTGCAACTTTTCTGTAGTTTTTCATAGTGATTTTGTGTCTCTTTCTGGTCTTTTGTGTGTCTTTGTGGCCATTTTGTTTCTCTTCATGGTTGTATTTCCCATTTTCATTTTTGTGAGTCTCTTTGTTTCTCTTCATGGTTGTATTTCCCATTTTCATTATTGTAAGTCTCTTCGTGTCTCTTCATGGTTGTATTTCCCATTTTCATTTTTGTGAGTCTCTTTGTGTCTCTTTGTGATTTTTGCAGCTTTTATTAGTCATTTTTTACTTCCTTGTGGTCTTTTTGTGTCTCTTTGCACTTGTTTTACCTTTTTGTAGATGTAAGTCTCTTTGTAGCTTTTTGTTGTCATTTTTTGTCTCTCTGTGGTTGTGTTTCCGCTCTCCATAGTTGTTAGTCATTTTGTGTCTCTTTCTGGTCTTTTTGCATCTCTTCGTGGTTGTTTTTCCCCTTTTCATAGTCCTAAGTCTATTTGTAACTCTTTACAGCTGTTGTGCATCTTTTTGTAGTCATTTTGTGTCTCTTCAAGGTTGTTGTTCCCCTTCTCGTAGTCACAGTAACTCTCTTTGTGGCTGTTGTGCATCTTCTGTATTCTTTTGTGTCTCGTCGTGGTTGTTTTTCCCCTTTTCATAGTCACTGTAAGTCTCTTTGTGTCTCTTTGTGGTCTTCTTGTGGTTTTTCCCATTTTAATAGTCATAAGTCCCTTTGTGTCTCTTTGCAGTCATTACACATCCCTATGTGGTTTTGTGTCTCTTTGGGGTGTTTTGGTGTCCCTTTGTGGTTGTTATTCCCCTTTTCATAGTCATCGTAAGTCTCTTTTTTTTAGTCATTTTGTGTGTCTCTGCTGCCTTTTGAAGTTTTTTTGTAGTTGTTTAAAGTCTCTTCCTGGTCAGCAGGTGTTAATTTCAGTGATATTTTGCTGGTGAAGGCCAGGGGGGCTCCTGACACTTTGGGCTCCTGGGCCTGTGTCCAGTAGGCCTGCCCATCAATCCATCCATGTACATCTGGTTATTGTTTAACAGGAGATAATTTAAACCAAAACATTTCAAAGTGTAGCCGGCACATTGTTATTTTCTTTGAATCCATTTAGCAATATGGGTTTGTCATGAAAGGTTTTTAGATTGTAAACATCTAAAAAAAGGCTTAACAAACTGCTTGAACCATCCCACACATCCCTTACTGTAATATAAACTCAGTCTCTCTCATTTAAAGGCTTTAATTTGCCTTCATTTGCAATATTAAGGGACTGCTTTCTAAAATAAATCATAACTGTTAAAATGTTTTAGGGTTTGACTTTTTGTTAAGATCTGATTCAGTTGTTTTGACACTTAAATAATTCAGCTTAATTTAATATGATATTGTGCTGAACATTTACAGGTAAGACCCACATTTATTTCTATTTTTGTAAAAGTTGAAAGACAGACGCTGCAGATAAATGTCTCCAGTGCAGCAGATATTAAACTGTGTGTTTCCCTTCCAGCTGACACAGGCTCACCTGGCCCAGGTGTCTCGGAGTATCGCCATGAAGTTTTCTGACGTGGTCTGCCAGATCCTGGTCCGGGATCTGATGACCAATCTGCAGACTCGAGACTCTCCGTTGGCTTCAGCCAGTAAATCCAGCAAAGAGGAGGAGAAGAGTTGGAGCGAAGGCAGCAGGTAGGAAGACCCACCTCTCACTCAGATACACCTCACAGCAGGTCACTGTTAGGGCTCATTTATACTCCCTTTAAACCCAGTTCAGACCGAAGATTCACAATGGGACAAGTTGAAACAGATAACTTCTTGCGACGCGCTGTTCTGCAATGTTCTAAAAACCTGCCAGTTCACACCAATGGGAACACGCCGTCTGCGGTCATTTTGACTTTACTAGCAGACTTCACTACACTTGACCAGCTGAGTCACAGGTGACACCATCAACCAACGGTTTCGTCTTGTTGCGAATCTTTAGTCTGAACTGAGCTTCACATACGAGAACAGATGCACCCCTTTCAAACGTCACTGTCCTCACACTTCTGTATGTCCTTTATGATGATATAAATACAGCCACTAGATGGCACTAGAGGTCAGAGTCAAAAGTTGCACACAACAACAAACGAGACAACAGTGGAGGAGGTTGTAATATTGTATCTTTTTAATGGAGGCAATGTTGTAAATGTATGGTCGTATCTCGCATGAACTACGCTACACTGCCTCTGCGACCTCTGTTGGTACCGCTCCATTTCCTCTGTATCCATAAGCTTTAAGAAAACATGCACAAATACGAACAGAAGTCTGCATCTGTGAGCGTGTCGTATACGTATCAAACGCTGAGCACAAATAAGCCGTGTGGGTGCATTCGCCCTTTGCTTCTAGAGGCCCCCACCACATCTTTGTTGAAGCCTCAGAAAGGACATCAAGTAGGATAAATCAAAATGATCTTTATATGTGTGGAGCCGGGAAATAGTCCTAAATAGACCCCTAATCCAAAATCATCCTACAGTGTGTCTGTTAATGCTTATCCAACTTACTAAGGCTTAATTTAATAACTTATGGCTGATTTGAAAATCAGATATTTTGTGTATTTGTATCATAAACCAATATCACACACCAAAGCTTTTATAGCCTCAGCTGATCTGCAATGCTCGTCCCTAGATGGGACTTTAAAATACATAAAACTTTTCAATTGAAAACTGTACCTTTAAGATCAAACCAATCAATAACTGTTTGTTTGTAGATCCTCCCGTTTGATGCAGGTGGAGGAACCAATGACCGAGGACAGCTCTGCTTCCATGAATTCCTCGGGCGCTGAGGTGGCGTCATGGCACAACTTGGATGAGTATTTGGAGTCGGCGACAGAGGAGGTGATGTCAGCAATAATAAAAAGATTGGACAGCTGTCAGGAGATGACAGAAGCAGGCGTTAAGACACCAAGCCCTGCCAGCAAAGTCCTGAAATATATCTCGACTAAAATGAGCGAGAAGTGGCTCTCTCTCACCATCACTTTATTTTCATGATGGGACCAACGGTTTGGGTGTGGGAATAATTTGTTTGAGGAGTTCAAACCCATTAAAAACAGCCTTTCCTGATCTAGTCCCTCTCATGAGCTCTGTGTGTGCCCCTCAAGTGCAGGAATCGCCATGACAACGGCTGCAGACACAGACACGCACACACAGCCCTCTACTCATACTTGAATTTTCTCTTCAACTCGCTCATACGGCCACAATTTTCACTGTACATACACAATTTATACCACAAAACGTAGGAAAATTTGTCCTGGTCACAGAAATGTTGACATGGAATCTGTCACACGTACACATTTTTGCTGAGTGGCTCCAAAGCGAAGGGAGCGCCAATTTTTTTCTCATTCACTCCCATGTAATCTGAGAGGAGAAATTTCTGGAAACAGCTGAGGTGCAACACATTTGTAAATCGCTCTGGTGACCAC